TACACATGATGTGTCATCTTATTATGTGCCATGCTTGGTAGGCATTCAAGTTTCTGAAATCCAGATGTGCTGTAAAGAAATAATTTTGAAGATTTTTTCCTGAGACGGTATTGTGAACTGGTAAGCAAGCAATCTCTGCACCACATGCTTTTGTTCACCAAATTTATTGTTGAACATTCAGAACACCAGATTATGACAGATTAAAAATAAAGCACCAAAACTTGCTACACATTAATACCTGAGCGAAGACTGAAGGCAAATATTCATCTATGAAACCCCACACCATAACGCTGCAACAGATAAAAACATACACAACACTCTACAGAGTATAATAAATAGCACTTTTTGTGAATTACAACCAGCTAAATGTTACTTATATAAAAAATACAACAAAATCACACATGTGTATTTCATACACCATATACTATACAAAGTACTGAAGAAGATCATGCTTATTTAAATGGAAAAATCTGCAAGGTGACAATCATTTTTCAGTATATGCTACAGGACAAGCTCCTTTGCACTAAGTATTGTTACTATGCACTGCATTTTCTGGATGAGAACAAAAATATCAATTTGCAAATAAAGGATTACTGAGTCTATCTCAGCATAATAAATAGTTTGTCCTTCATAAACTTTTTTTTTTTTTTTAAGATTTAATTTATTTGACAGAGAGACACAGCGAGAGAGGGAACACAAGCAGGGGGAGTGGGAGAGGGAGAAGCAGGCTTCCCGCTGAGCGGGGAGCCCGACATGGGACTCGATCCCAGGACCCTGGGATCATGACCCGAGCCGAAGGCAGATGCCTAACAACTGAGCCACCCAGGTGCCCCATAAACTTTTAATTATAATATTTTCTGGATGCAGGTTGACAGCCATGTATTTTATTACATTTCCTTGCCTGAACTATTTCCATCTCAATTTTAACATGTTTTAAGGAAAGACATGTTTTCTTTCTCCTTATTTGTAGAGAAACCTAGATTTTTGTCTTTGGGAGGAGGTAGTGGAGGTGAAATGGGAAGAAGAAATATATTGGGTTTATGTTCAAAATTGAAAAATATACAACAAATTCTGAGTACACAGAGATGTGAGCATCTTTTAGCAGAGACCATGATGTCCTATGAATGGAATAATTTGTCTTAATAGAAATTATTTATTTTTTAAATAAGCACAGTAAAAATATAGTAAGTCTTTACATGAAAAAAACAATAACAACTGAAACCAGTTCCTTGATACCTTAAAAATAATTATTAGGAAGGAAAAAGAGAAAAAGGGGAAAATAATATTTAAAAATATACTGCATGAATCTGAGTTTAATTACTGAAAAATCGTTATTAGGTAAACTAACTTCTGATATTTAAATATGAGTGTCAATAATCTGAGAAAAAATAAGTATAGGTCTTAGGGAAGAATTCATGTATTTGATAGATTATTTATTAGAAAGACAAAAAAATGATATTTGAAGATTTTTCCATGTGTAAATATATAAGTGCAAAACAAAAATACCACCACCTTTTCCTAAAATAATTTTCAGAAACTTTAGCCAAACTTACTTTTCTACATCTATGAAGTATAAGTCAAGTTTAACTCAAAATGAGAACTCTGGAAATTAAAGGGAGGTTCTAGAGCAAAAAAAGAAATACTGGTCAACTTTAAAAATTTTACTTCACCAACTTCAAAGAAAAAAATTGGGGGCCAATTTATAAAATATACAGTTATAAAATTGCAGGGCATTCCTTCATTTTAAGGCACAGTCTGTTTTATCCTAAACAACTATAAGTTCAAGGTCACAGTGATAATATGCATTCAATTTTGGTCTGGTTTATCATGGGTATGTTGCTACATTTAGTTAGTCATAAGTTTAAGAAACTGTAATACAATCAATTCAAAATAATATCATTTTTATATTTAAAAATGTAAGTACACAATACAATTTCCTAAATCACATACACTAAAAATTGAGAGATTTTTTTCCCCCTCCACAGAGGAGGAAGAGGTTATTTCTACCAACATTCCAACAAATACATATTTGATTATGTAGATAGCAGGGTTATAATAAAATTATTTAACACAAAGGAAAAACTCATTCCAAAAAACAATGTTAACTGAATTTTTAGGTCTTATACATCATCTTTTTACTAATACCCAGTCATTACCGGTTAGCTGGATAAACTGTCACTAAATCAAGGTCAAACATTTTTTTTTTAATTTTTATTTTTTAATTTTATTTTTTTTTATTTAAAGATTTTATTTATTTATTTGAGAGAGAGAATGAGAGACAGAGAGCACGAGAGGGAAGAGGGTCAAAGGGAGAAGCAGACCCCCCACCGAGCAGGGAGCCCGATGCGGGACTCGATCCCGGGACTCCAGGATCATGACCTGAGCCGAAGGCAGTCGCTCAACCAACTGAGCCACCCAGGCGCCCCTCAAGGTCAAACATTTTAATATTTGGTTTTCTTTTGCCTCCTTACTTCCAAAGCCACTTTTGCAAACTGCATCAACTTTACTGGACAGAGAAACAATAAGTGACATTAACCGATGGGCAAAACTATATAATACGAGGGACTGAAATTCCCTTTGAGAATTTCTATAGGGGAGAAATCAAAGAATTTCAGTCAGATAAATATGTTTGAGTCTATCATTTTGAGTATACCACCCATCAGTGTTAACATTCAGCATTAACACCATTGTTTATATTTTCTCTTAAAATATGCATTTTAAAATGTTTATTTCATTGTACTGTTAGGATCTAGTAGATAATTTTCCCCTTTGAAACATGTGATTTATAAAGGGACTGAATGGAAATACATAGAAAACAAAACAAATTCCATAGTAAAATCTCTATTACATAAATGAGAGACACCTGTACTAAAAATAATCTGCACAATAACATTTACAGTTTTACACAACAGAATGAATCTGTGATGAATGAAAGAAGATTACTTCAATTAATTAACAAAAGATCATTATTGGGTAAATTAACTTTTAAACCCAATAAAATCAGAGAACATTACTCCACAATTCAGATAAAATAGAATATACTATGGTATATTATACATATTCAAAGAAAATTTGGGGTATGGAATATAAGTTTTGATGATTTACATATTTAATATTAAGTCGCAGATGAAAAATACTGAAAATATTTTTCCTTTAATCCCAATATGTTAAGAAAAATTCATTGGCACAGATATCTGGAGGTATTTTACAGTTTCTTTTAGCTTTGGTGGCAAAGTATGTTTTGCTAACCATATGGATACAGTTACATTTTTCAATGCAGAGTTTTGTGCTTAAAAAATTCAAATGTGTTTTTTTTTTCCTGTAAAAGGGATGTAAAAAGTCCAATATGAAAACAAGTGCAACATAAAATATAAAATATGCCTATAATTTGGCTTATGAACAGTTAACAGTTCTATGCTTTGTCTATAAATCTTTTACTAATAACATTACGAGAATACAAATACTAAAAACAAAAATAACATTAAAAATAGTATATGAACTTTACAAAACTGGCTACTTTTTAGCCTTTCTAAATTATGATTAAAATTCAAATATGCAAACAAATTTACAATAACCAAAATACATTAACAAATATAGTTTTTTACAAGTATTCAAAGTTACAGTGTACAGAATTGGTATAGAATAATTTTGATTCATATATATCAAGTCCTATACAAAGTCATCAGAAATTGGTTACTTGGCATTTCAAACCATAGTCATTTTTGGCAGCATAACATGCCAAACACTTTCAGAAAGTCCTGTACTTGATTTAAAATTTTCAACCATAGACAATGTAATCAAGATGTAGCTTAGAATATCATTTAGCTTTTGAAGGATGTATATTAGTGATTCAGGTGTACTGTTATATTTATACTATTAATGAAATAAATTAGTCTATTCTCACTATTTCCAAACTTTATTCAGTTCTTAAAACTGCTAATATACAATGTCAGTCTTCTATATTCATAATATAATTTATCACAAAAATGTGAATTCTTAAACATCTACAGTACACATATTCAGATTTGGATTACTGACCTGACTTTTCTTTCCTATCATCCTTATTAAAAGTAAAAAACACAAGTAGCTTCACAGACTTACTATTTCCTCAGGCTGTTGAAACTTACTGTGAAAGAATGCATGTGTATTATGTATAAATAAAAGTTCATTACAGACTTTGAAATGCTGTCCTTTGTTCAAAAAGAGTGAGATAAAATTTCAGCTCCTAATCATCTATTTCGTAATAGTATCTTCTACATTTACCTTGTGTGGCAAGGAAGCTTTCTGTCTTGTCTTTTTTTTTTTTTTAAGATTTTATTTTTAAGTAATCTCCACACCCAAAGTGGGGCTTGAACTCACAACCCCCAGATCAAGAGTCACATGCTCCACAGACTGAGCCAGCCAGGCACCCTGCATAATACAAAGATACTTTGTGTGTCATGCTCTCCAAATAGACTCCCCCCTTGAAAAACCTCACAAGGTATCTAGTTTCCTATGATAGGTGACACTGAGAAAACAAAAAGTGATGATGAAAAAAATAATCAACACATGCCTAGTCATAGAAAGTCACAACATATTTAAAAAAATTTTCCCAACTGATTTTAATAACAGGTTACTAAATTTGCAAGTGCAGCACTGTAAAGTTTTACACTAAACCTCCTAATAAAGCAAGACATTATACTAATTTAGACCTAATGCCTAAATTGAAAATACATGTCAGTTGAACTATCTGGGGATTCAGGAATCAACAGTCCTAGTTTATCCTATAATCGTTGTGTTTCTCCCATTTTCCCTCCTTTTATTTCCCCTGGCCACTATGTGTAAGAGGTGCTAATGAGCAGTGAGGTAAAATAAATATACTATGCTATGAATGACAAGTCTGAAGCATTAGAAAAAGTGTAGAACTAGATAATGAACAAATCCGGTAATTTGCTTAAGTATGTGTGTGTGGTGGAAACGTGTACCGTCTGCACGAGTGATAGGATAATCAACAACAAACATTTACTAGGCCTAGTATAGTTCTTTATTTTTTTACTGTATGATCATATAGATACCACAGTGTAGTTCAATCAAGAAAAGGTATTCCATTAGATACATGTGAATTTATCTGACCAAAATATGAAAAAAAATTAAAGATTAATCAATACATGATCAATATATACTGAAGAAACTCAAAATCAATGTGAACCAGGCAAGAATGGCTTTTTGGGACCACTGTTTTAAATATCTTCATTCTAGTGACAACCAAGAAAAGAGTTAGCAGAAACTGTTTTAATTTCTGGCATGAAAAAGATCCAGAAAAAAGACGTTAATATTTTCTACCATATTATCACTTCCAAATTATACTAGTAACTCCAACTGAGGCTTTAGAAACACTAAAAGTACTCAGTATTTCTCCTGTTTGATCTAGTTATCAACAATAGGGTCCAAGAGTAATTTTTATAACTCAAAACTCAAATTCTAAATAAAAATGTTATAGCACTTGAGCTCAGAAGTTTGTTGAACTGAAGAATCTGTAACTTCCAGTAAATAATTTCATTTTTAGTAACATTTCTAATAAAGCTGTACTGTTTTGCCAGCTAATTAATATAGGTTGTAAGCATGGTAGAACCAATGTATAATTTAAAGACAAAAGGACTATCTTTTCCCCAAGTGACAGAAACATCAATTTCCCTAATCTTGAGACAGAGCCTATCTTCTCATCTCTGGTAGTTATTTAGGCTTAAAGTACATCAGGATTTGATAAACACCCTGTCAAAATGTGTATGTGTGAGTGAGTGTGTGTGTGTGTAGTAGGGGTGTGTGTGTGTGTGTGTGTGTGTGTATACAATGGTTAAAGACCCAACCTATATTGTTTATGTTTAATTAGAATCCTTTTTATAGCCCTAAAATGAAATATTCTGTTGGAATAAATAAGACTTTAGGACTTGATAACTACACGCATACGAAAATTGTTTAGTGAGAATTAGTGTGCCTAGTCTGCTGCTTTAAAAAGCTAATCTCCTACTCACAAATGAGAAATTTAAGCTTGTTACATTTTATTCATGAGCAGTACTGACTGAATAAGGAGACTTTAGATCATATAAACACAATGACTGTGGCTGTCAATAGAAGATACAAATTAATGAATTTTCTAAAGTTCTTTCTGTATATAAACGTAAGTTTAAATTAAGAAATAGTTAAATGACACATTTAACCTGTAACTTAAAAATATAATAATGTCAGTGAAAAAAACAAAGATACAATGTATATAAAACTTACTTATGAATATATGAATAGGTAAACATAAGCAGATATGTCCTTATTTAAATATACAAGTGGTATGCCACGGGACAAGTGTATAATAAACTCTCTTTCCTTTCATATACTGAACAAACAAGCATTTTGTATTTTATCCTTGTGCTACCTCTCTCAAACAAGAGCCTGAAATGTCAGCCATGTCTACTATGAGGTTATCACTTCCCTTTAATGATCTCCATAAGTGAAAATATAAATACTGAATAGGCATGAGGTTGGGAGAGACAACAATGGAATTAAACAAACTTACAACCCTCATAGATGATACCGAGATCCTCTTCAACTGATGCCAAAACAGCAAGGACCTGAGGAATAACTGAGAAGTGAAGTGAGGTAACCCTCTATAGGCAGTGAAGTGGGGGAAACTCTCCACAGGCAGTAACAGCTGAGAGGTTGTAATGGAATCCAGATGCAATTGCTGACAAAATGAATCTGGTACTCTAGGACAGTCCTGGGTACTAACAAGGACAAAAGTTCACAAGTATTACTGGGATTTAAGGACTTTAAACGGTTTTGGGTATGTAGAGCATACACATCTAAAGGAAGGGCTCCATGAGCCAAGTATACCTCAGCCTGAGTTTATTCTATCTTAAGGCAAAGATACCTAGCTCCATTACCTACTCTTCTGTAGCTAAAAGCGAGCTGAAGTCTCAAATGAAATAGAAATATTATTCTCTTTTCTGTCAAACCAAGGTAATCACCTTGGCAAATTAAGATGCCATTGTTAAAACTAGTGGCTAAAACCTCCAATTTATTTAGGTATACTGTTTATACTTATGCTATTAATGGGTAACAGTAGGTTATTCCATTAATAGTATTATTTTACATATCAAATGTGGTACACCACTTGATCACGCTGACTTTTTTTCTACAGTAGACAAAAACTGCAAAACTAGAGATTTTTTCTGACCACTGGAATTTAGTTATTTTAAAAGCCATCATGATCTGAGGCACTTTTGGCAACCATTGGGTCAATGAATTAAATAAAATGGTACATACTGAACAACTGTACCGCTCCAACATCAATAAGTAAATATCTGGGACAATTTTCTTTAAATTTAATGAGAGATTTCTTTAATAGACTCCTGATATTCACCAAGAATACAAAGTAAGATCTGTATTTGAAAAGTAGTGAGAAAATTTCACTAAGTTTTGAGTTTAAATTATGTTCACCAATCTTCCATTGGTTACCAAGAAAACATGTCTCCTTAAAATTAAAAGTTGTATTTTCATAGATGTAAGAAAACAAAAGATCTGCCTTGTTCACTGTGGCTGCCAAAACTGACTCTTTGAGGTTATTTCATTTTTGAGAAACCAAACAGTTGTGAATTTCATTGATCTTTTTCTTTTTCATTCATCTTTTAAGACTGATTTCTCAATATGCATGCTGTAGCAAATACAAAGTAACTGACTTTTCAGAAGAAAGTTTGATGAAATGAGCAGAATGCTTGAGTTGAGATTACAAGCAATGCTACATTTACTGAGTATTTAGATCCCCAGTATGGCCAATTAAGCAGAATAGCTGATATGCATAAGTCCTCAAAAACAGTGGCCACCAGACCCTTTTCAAAAATGACTAGTACACAGATGCCATACCACAAAACAAAACCATGCTTCAACTACTTTTCTCAAGCATTATAAAACTAATTTCCTATTTTCAATATTGTAAAAATAGACTGGTCTTCTCCAAAGGATCTTGCTGTCCACATTGATGAATCTGTGCATTCTCTCTTCTTACTGACCCTAAAGTTGTAATTATTTTTATCATTCCTTAAATTCAGTCTTACATGAAGTTGCATAATGCATGGAGTAAAAGAGGAATGAAAATGAAGCATGGAACCCTGTATAAATGTGCTGACCCAAAAGCAATTACACCAACAGCCAGAGGAAGTGGAAATTGTGAAGTAGCCTTCAACAATTTACTGTAAAGAAACAGAGAAATATGCATTACGTAAACTACATTGTAGGCAAAACCAGAATATGCTGATTTAACTGTCCATAATTTTTAAAAAGATCAATATAAGCCACATTTTAGCTAGAGAAAAATATTTCTATTAAGTAAATAATCAATTTTGTTCAGTCTTTTAAATTTTAACAACAGAAAAATATTAGTTGGACTTTTATTCAGCAATTCTACCTCTAAAAACTTATCCTTTCAAAAATAATATTTACGGGGCGCCTGGGTGGCTCAGTCATTAAGCGTCTGCCTTCGGCTCAGATCATGATCCCAGAGTACTGGGATTGAGCCCCGCATCGGGCTCCCTGCTCGGCGGGAAGCCTTCTTCTCCCTCTCCCACTCCCCTGCTTGTGTTCCCTCTCTCTGTGTCTCTCTCTCTGTGTCAAATAAATAAATAAAATCTTCAAAAATAATATTTACTAGGACATAGCTACAGAACTATTTTAACCTTCCTTGTAATAGCAAAAAAACAAACAAAAAAAGAAACTTAACCAAATAAAAAAGAAACTCTTAATTACTAACAGGAACAATATTAAGACAAGACACTAAATCTTTTTAAAAGAAAAAGACTATTACCGTTTTACTCTGAAAACAGAGAAACTAAGGATAAGAGGGGTTAGGAAATTTGTCTAAAGACATAGAGGTATTAAATGGCAGAGCCAAGATTTAAACCTCAGGTCTGCTTCATTCTAGAGTATCTGCAACCATCTGCCAGAACCAACTGAAAACAGTCTTCTAGAGCAAACAACCAAACCAGTCAATGAAAAGTCAAATTTATAGAGAACTTTAAACATATATATAAGTGAACTAACAGTGTGATGAATTTCATGTACCCATCACCCAACTTCAAAAAGTATCAAGTCATGGCCAATCTTACTGCATCTATAATCCTATCCACTTCACTCCTTCCATACTTTTTGGAAACAAAATCTTATTAGACATCATATCTTTTAAGAGCTAAATTAAAAAAAAAAAAAAGTTATTATATCCTAACAAGTAAAATCCGTAATTAAGAAAACAAATAAAATATACTTATATATAAATTATACCTGCATACAAACCATAATTACTGTATGATTACAGCTTTAGCTTTAGGAATATATCAAAATATTTAGACATAGTCAAAATATTGAGACATAAAGAACATGTTTCAGACATAAAAGAGTGATTATGAGTAGGAAAAGATGTGAGAAAAAGAAAGATTAAACTATTATACCTGGATTTTATTGAAACAGTGTGAGTATTTCCAAGAATTGCCACAGTTGGAATAAGGATAAATGCCAAAGGTTTACATGGATCAGGATTAAGTTTAAAGTAATACCTATATCAAAGAGAAAAAACCCTTATAAATCAATAAAGCACACCCAATCATTTTAAATGATCAGAATCAAACAAATTAATTTCAAAACATTCCAGAGATATGAGAGCTCTAAATAGCTCATGAAATCTTTGATAAATAAATTTTGCTATAGATCATCTTTATACCTAAGGTTTTATGGAGAATTATGTTCAGAAACTACTAAAGGAAATGAAAATATCCAATATGGAAGCACTTCCTTTTAATAAGAGGTATATGCCTGAAAGCTCATATAGAAATGTTTTTATAAAACAAATTATTTAAAATATATTAAGTCTGCTCTAGAAAAAAAAAGATGAAGAAAACAAAGGTTTTTATAAAGCAATTGTCCCTATTTTTAAAAATCCAAATTCTCATCTCTGGCATTTATGGACAGTGAGGCATTGATAGCATTTCAGAATCATAAATTTGAGCTCCTCAAATAATTTCTCCCCAAACCTGTGAACAAAAATCTGGATCTTGACTAAAATGAGGGACAAAGGAGGGATATTAACATCTCGTAACCTGTTGATCTAATTTATCAAACTTACTTGGCTTTTCAAAAAAAAAATTTTCCAGTATTTAGATAATTTGAAATTTTTGTATCATTTCTGAAAACTGTATTGAGTAGGGGATCAATTATTACTTGGATGAGGTGGCCTGTTTTTTTTTAATATCTACCAATAACTAAATATTCCAGAAACAATCTCAGAGGGCATTTTCACACTCTAATTTAACCTAGAAAATTATCATGTGGCAAGGCAAAAATGGTTTTCAGTAGTAAAATAGCTGGTCATTTATTTTAGTTCAATGTTTGATACTCAATTAGAAAACTACAATTTTTTTTCATTATTTCTTATCTTTTTAAATGTAAGCATTTTCTTCCTTCCAAATTTAAGAAAACATAAAACTGATCATGAACTGAAAAATACTTAAAGCACCAAGCATTATGAATACCTTAAGTCAACAAAATAAAGCACATTTTCACATCTAGACTCACAGAAGGTTAAAGGTAAAATAAATAAAATATACTTCCCTCTTTTGGGCAGATTTTGAGGAAGTTTATATTCTCATAGTAAGGGAAAAAATGTGAATATATTAAATGTGAATATATATATTTCCTGAAATTATATAGCTTCCTATTCTTAAGGAAGTTTTATGGACCATTAGGAATCTGGTAAGTCTCTACTTACAGGTATTTATTGTTTGAAGCACATAAATTATAATTATATAAATAAAACACACCTGAGATTCTTTAACCAATAAATTAAAGATGGCATGCTGAGTAATACAATCCATGTTAGTAAGTTAATCACAGTACTGTGCATGCGAAGACTATCTTCAGCATCATTGGCAGATAAACGAAGATAGTGTACTGTAGAGTCTTTATGGTGATTTGATTTTTTTTCACTTCTTCTAGAGTGTTTGGGATTCTATAAAGCAATAAAGTAAAAACACTAAGATATTAAAATTAAAGTTTATTATTTTACTCAGGATCACACTCAATTATTTATTTAATAGCTAAATAACCACATCTTTCTATTGCCAAACTAATACAAAATATTGAAATTACCTTGCTCAATGTAATTTAAAGCAGTTATTAGCTATAACATTTTTATTCCTTGACTTGCTATTTCCACTGCTGAGACTATATCCTCTAAGTAATTACTTAAAATTTAAAAAAGATAATTTGTAACAATAAAAATGACATAAGTACTGATAAAGATCAAATTTAAATTAGACAGGGGCGCCTGGGTGGCTCAGTCAGTTAAGCGTTGGACTCTTTATTTTGGCTCAGGTCATGATCTCAGGGTTGTGAAATCAAGCCCTGAGCTGGGGGCTTGAGATTCTCTCTCCCTCTGCCCCTCCCTGCTACCACCTGCCCTCCACCACATGTGTACTCTCTAACAACAACAAAAAATTAAAATTAGACAATCTATTAGGTTCACTTTTCTTTTTTATTTATTTATTTATTTATTTGAGAGAGAGAATGAGAGAGAGAGAGCACATGAGAGGGGGGAGGATCAGAGGGAGAAGCAGACCCCCTGCTGAGCAAGGAGCCCGATATGGGACTCGATCCCGGGACTCCAGGATCATGACCTGAGCCGAAGGCAGCCGCCTAACCAACTGAGCCACCCAGGCGCCCCTAGGTTCACTTTTCTTAAAGTTACTTAAATTCATGACACCTTTTTAAAACACTGTAAAATCCTAACTTAAAAACACACAAACTTTTTTATTTCGCCATGTTCTTTTATATTAAGGTGATGTAGAGTTTTGAAAATAAAACTTACCACAGTCTGGCTATTTTTGTAAGTTGTTAGGCTGGCTTGCAGATGAACAATCTAGGAAAAAAGAAAAAACTGTTTAATTTCACTTTTATTTTGAAACAAAAAAAACAACCATTTTTATTACAACTGAGAAACACTAATCTGAAATTTAAAGAAATCTGCATAACTAAAAATGTTTAAACATTTACAAATATTCTTTCAGAAAAGGTAAATAATAACTATACAAGCTTGCTATTATGGATTAAAAAACAGAAACAAAATAAAACAAACTTCCAGAGTATGATGGGTCCAGGATATATTGCTATTCTGAGAACCTATGTTTGAATAATGCTTTGCTCTAGCAACTTAGTGTCCTGTGAGTAAAATATTTGATTATCATCAGTATAGTATAAAGAATTTAATATGTCTTACCTATTCTCAATTTTTGAAAATTTGAACTCAATTATATATGGTGAAATGTTTACAAGAATCTCAGAAAATCTTTGGGTTTAATTTGTTAGGTTTGCTTAAGCCAAGTATTTGAGAAAGTTTTGCTCATTGTGCCAACTATTTGAAATACCCAATTTAAAAAGCTAAAAATATCATATTTATAAATCAAAGTAGTAAATAGATTTTTCTGATGCACATAAATTTCCTTTGAAAAACTGAAAATAATCTATAATGTGCATGTATTAGTGTCTGAAGCAGATGTAAATAAACCTTTGTTTAAAAAAGAAAAAAATGATTATCCATTCTGGTATCAACTGTCTCTACCTAAGTTTAATGAGGAGAGTATACCATTGTATAACCTAGATTTTCCTGCAAAGCTATCAGCCTTCTTGGAAGTGTTTTTTACTTCCTCAGTAAAATTATCAGCCTCATTATTTTTGTCTTCTGATTCTCCAGCAACATCTATAACATTCTACATTATGTCAGCACAATTGATAGCTCGATCCCACTGACATAACTTTTTGTCTATTACCCATGGTCAAAGGGAGGTATGAATGAAAACTGCTCTAGTAAAATGTTTTTTAAAAAGTTAACATTACTTGCAAGAGCAAGAAGCAATGTGAAACAGATTATGTATTTTTCCTTTTTTTTTTAAATAAACTCCGTTTATTTTAAACTCAGATCAATAATTTCAGCTCTATAGTTAACCATATATTTTAAATAACTAAGATGTTTAAAAAAAACCTACACTTAAACCTTAAATAACAGGTTACTGCAACTGTAATTAAAATTTTTGTTAACAACACCTACAGGAAATTCTATGTCTGCCTGACACAAAGCCCAGCCATTCTGACTTCAGTGATGTGACATACCTTAAACACATAATAAAGATAAGTAAGCAGTATGGCAAATGCTCCACAGGTTGTCCAACTAACTATGATCAAAACAATTGTCAAAAAGGGCAAATCTGCTGATATCATTTTGATATCTTTAGGAAGTTCAGAGGGCCTGGAAAAAAACAAGAATAAAGCTTTTAAGAGTATATTAACAGTTATTTATACAGTCACATTTAAAAAGAAAACAATACAGTACTCTGCCAAGCTCTCCTGCTTATTAATATGCAAGTACCATAAGGTAAGCAATAAAATATTTTTTCATAAAGGCAAGGGATGACATATATTTGTATATTCTGTAATACACTGTGACAGCTCCTCTTCCATTTAGATACACGATGGCTGATATTTGTACTAAGAAAAAATGTTGCTAAAGATAATTAATTATAGGCCCTGTGCCATGTATTTGCAACCTTTCTATTTCTTAAAGTCTCGAGATCACTCAGACTTATGATGCTATTAGTGTCAGAAGCACCTCCAGGGTGAAGGAAGAAGCATCACAGCATAATCCCCTCTGTGACAGTACATCACATAACATGTCTGGTGAGGAGCAAAGGCAATAGAAACGAGGTCAGTGGTTTACCTGAAGAACGTACTAGTAACTTCAAACTTTATCTTTGGGTCCAAAATAAAACTCAAGGCAATGTTTTTGGAATTTTTATGCATTTCATCTTATCTGATCTTAAGTATCTAGAATTCTCTTGCTCTCAGGTTTGACTGAAAGTCAACATATAAAAGCATTGCCAGAGAAACGCTTCTTCCTTTGAAAGATTTACAATCATAAAAATTAAAAATACTTCAGTAATCTGTCACTTTTTAAAGTAATGTCTACTCCCAATGCTGGGCTTGAACTCATGACCCTGAGTTCAAAAGTCGCATGCTCTACCGACTGAGCCAGTAAGGCACTCCTGTCAAACTTTTTTGATTAACTCTTGGCATTAACACAAATGTAGCATTTAGCTTGCAATAAATGATTATCTTTTTTTAAATAAAAGTTTTTATTTAATTCAGTAATCTCTATACCAACGTGGGGCTCAAACTTATGATCAAGAGTTGCATGCTCCTCTGACTGAGCCAGCCAGGTGTCCCTAAATGATTATCTTTAACAAAGACATAACTTTGAACACTAATACATGTTTTTCTAGTTATACATCTTTCCTTAGAAATTAGAGTTTAGGGGTGCCTGGGTGGCTCAGTCGGTTAACTGTCTGCCTTCAGCTCAGGTCATGATCCCAGGGTCCTGGGATCGAGCCCCATGTCGGGCTCTCTGCTCAGCAGGAGCCTGCTTCTCCCTCTCCTTGCTGCTCCCCTTGCTTGTACTCTCTCTCTCTCTATCAAATAAATAAAATCTTTAAAAAAAATTAGTTTAGTGAAAGCCAATTAATTGTGAGGTTCCCTATCAAAATATAGTTTTTTCCTTAAGAGCAATTAGAAAACTTTCAGTCATTTTTACCTTTTCAAAGCTAGCCACAATGAAGAAAGGAGTCTCACAGATGTAGAAGAAAGTAGGCCACCCCAGTAGGCAGTACATGTTCCAAACAGAAAGAGAATCAAGGATACAAGGGGGAAACACATACTCTGACTAGTTAAAACGATGGCATCTAATTCTGGTAACAGTAACACATCCCATAATTCCTTAAACCATTTATATCTGTGGATAAAAGAAAACATACAATAAAAGAAAAAAAATCAACAACTGATATTCAAGTATTTAATATCTGAGGTGTCTGACCATTCACTAGAGTCACCAAAGTTCCATGATACTCAATTCGTAATTATACTGAAAAACAAATTTCAATTCCGTGTAGAGAACAAGTCATTTATTTTCCAAGTGAGTCTACTGATCTTCAAGGATCCGAGTCCTGAGTCTGAATGCAGTTCCACTGCTCTCTGTTGATCCTTGTAATAAATAAGTGGTCTTTTTTTTAAGTTAGAAAACCAACAGCTAGTTGTAATGCTAATGAAAAGAGATCTAAGCATATTGGTTCTAAGCAAAAAACACAAAATTAGAATAAATTAAAAATGGAATGTTAAGTGTGGTAGAGATCCAAAATACACTTTGTATGGGAAGAAAAAGTGATCTGAGGCACTGTTTCACAAATATCCTATAATGGTTTGTGCTCATGAATCTGGGATACTCAAAGATTATGGACCATATGCATCCCTATGCAAATGTTAGAAGTTTGGTATATTTACAGACTAAGTTTCTATAATTGATACATCTACATATAACTTCTATAATTACTTTTGAAATGGTTATAGTATTAAAGTAAATGTTGATATACCTATTAGGCCTCTGCCTAAGAGAAAAGTCCCATAATAAAACAAGACAATTGCCATATTTGTATGAATATTTATATTTCATTATGGGGCTAAGCATGTTTCATATATATAATTAAAATCATTATCACAGATAATAAAACTTACCCCAACAGAAACTTAATCATAATTACTAAAGGATCAACTTTGTATGGCTTGGCTTCTTTATCCAACATAGTAGCATATTCTAAGCAATGACCTGGTGATTAAAAAAAAAACACCTATGTGTAGTAAAGAATTCATAGTAACTATGAGTAATCATACACTGACTGCATTGTAAGAGCAACATATTTCATGTCAGAGAAAGCAAGGGTCATTATTATCATAAAGACTCTCTTCACAGATTAAAAATTACTGTAATTCAATAGATCTTATATAAGAGTACACAATCCCTTCTGAAACAACTTCAGGAAGCCAAAGCTGGGGTTTCACCATTTGTATTTTCACAAAGCTCCAAAGGTGATTTTTTTTAAAAAACAACTTTACTGAGATATAATTCTCATACCACACAATTCATTTAAAGTATACACAATTTAGTGGTTTTATCACCACAATCAGTCTCAGAACATTTTCTTACTCCCCAAACAAACTTTGTTCCCCTTAACTGTCATTTGCAATGTTTCCCTATTCCCAGGCAACAACTAATCTACTTTGTTTTATATACTGGCCTATTCTGAACATTTTCTATAAACAAAATCATATAATATAGAAATCATATAATATATGGTCCTTTGTGACTGGCTCCTTTCATTTGGCATGTTTCCAAGATTCATCCATGTTGTAGGGTGTGTCAGCACATTTTATTTATCCATTTATCAGCAGATGGATACTTGGGTTGTTTCTGCTTTTTTGGATATTACAAACAGTGCTTCTGTGAACATGTATGCACAAGTTTAGTGTGGGTGTATGTTTACATTTTTCTTGGTTATATACCTAGGAGTACAGATCCTGAGTCATAGAGTAACTGCCAGACTACTTTCCAAAGCATCTGTACCATTTGCATTCCCAACAGCAATATATGAAGATTAAAATGAATTCTAAAGGCAGACTTGAAATTGTAAGTCATCGAAAGGAAATAAGTAGCTGCAGAAGGATTTGGCAAGATGGAAATGGTAGAGGATATTTTCAGACTACTTTTATATATTTTGATACACTCTTTTCCTATCTCGTCTCCCTTGATTACAATCCAAGCTCAACAGTGTGTGCGGGCTTTATAAAGTAGGCTCCTGGGAAACTATTTTCAATGCTATACTCAAAGGAAGGTTTTGTCCAGTGCAGTATATATTCTGTATTTGCCTCTCCAGATCCATTCTCCCCTTACTTTGTTCTGAACTCTGGGAGGCTGACTTAGGTGCAATGAATGATAGGCACTGATAAGAGGAAATAAGGTTAGTGTATGTATTTCCCTGCCTTTCCGCCCTGTTGAGCCACAGGCTGACAGTGGCTGCAGCTGTAGTAATGCTGCCCTCTACTATAGCTCTCTAGGCTTGCTCACTCCCTTGCCCTGGCACCAAGGAGTATCAGATGGCTCTACTGCTAATCTGGCACTTAATCATTTCTTATTGGCTTCCCTCAACCCTACCCATACCTTTGAAATAGTCCCTTCATTAAAATAAACTCTCAATTATTCCATTCAGTGTGCCAGGACCTAACTGATACAGTGGATACAGCCCAAACATTACACTAAATGCCTACTATGTGCTTGACACTATGCTAGGTACCAGGAATGGAATGGGGAACAAGATCCCCATCAGGGAGACTCTACCTCTTAGGATATCCTCAGAATAGACGGAAAAACCTTCGGCATGAAAGTGTAAAATGGAAAAGCCAAGTAAGGAATCTTCTTGGGGATCACCTAAAACCAGAGGATCTGAAATGCCTGTAAACTTGAGATGGGTCATGAATTTAGCCACACGAGGGACAAATAAGTAGTAATGGAGCACTGAGGAGGAAATGGATGAAGAAGAGAGGAGGAATAGAAACACTCTTACCTGTTGAGAAGAGAGAGTATAACTGTCCTCCATAAGCAAGAAGGATACTAGATGTAACATAAGCAGGAAGAGCTCCACCATGAAATCTAACTACCTAGAAAACAGGCAAATCAAAGGGCAACTTCTGAATATTCATGTTAATGAAATAAATGTACTTCCACATGAAATAAAAATGTCTTTCTTCACTTTATATTCCTGACATGGTCACAGAGGTATTTCCAGTAATGGGTATCAAAACTCTAAGTAAAATAAATATTATGAATATACAGTATGTTAGAAACGTAATCAGAATTTTTCATAAAGGCACAACAAAAAATATACAATTGAGTAGCATATACTACAAACTTTTTTTACAAGCTACATTTATTGAGCATTTAATATGGTCCAGGCATGATACTAAACATTTTATATGCATTATCTCATGCTCTCCTCCCAAAAATCCTTTGAGGTAATTCTTTTTTTTTTTTTTTTTAAAGATTTTATTTATTTATTTGACAGAGAGAGAGAGATAGCGAGAGCAAGAACACAAGCAGGGGGAGTGGGAGAGGGAGAAGCAGACTCCCCGCTGAGCAGGGAGCCCGATGCGGGGCTCGATCCCAAGACCCTGAGATCATGACCTGAGCTGAAGGCAGACGCTTAAGGACTGAGCCACCCAGGCGCCCCTGAGGTAATTCTTATTCCTATTTTACAGATGAAGAAATTCAGGCACAGGGAGCCCAAGTAACTTGCACAATTAAAAACCTAATAGACAAGTAGGGGAACCTGGGTGGCTCAGTCAGTTAAGCATCTGACTCTTGATTTTGGCTCAGGTCTTAATTTCAGGGTGGTGCAAATAATTTCTGTGTCAGGCTCTGCTCTTGGCACAGAGTCTGCTTGAGATTCTCTCCTTCCCTTTCCCTCTGCCCCTCGCACACGTGCACACTCTAAAATAAATAAAATCTTTAAAAAAGTTAATAGACAAGCAAGTTACTTGTTAACTCTTATTGTCCTTATCAGTAAAATGGGGGCAATAACAGTACTTACCTTATAGGTGGTTTTAAAGTTTAAGGATGTTCACTTATGTAAAGCATTTATTTTTTTTTAAGATTTTTTTTTATTTATTTGACAGAGAGACAGAGAGCACAAGTAGGCAGAGCGGCAGGCAGAGGGAGAGGGAGAAGCAGGCTCTCCGCTGAGCAGGAAGCCCGACGTGGGGCTCGATCCCAGGACTCTGGGATCAGGACCTGAGCTGAAAGCAGCCGCTTAACCAACAGAGCCACCCAGGCGCCCCAGTGTAAAGCATTTAGAGTATTAACTCAAACATGATAAGCTATCAAAAAATACTGGCTGCTATTACAGGCATGCCTCATTTCATTGATTTGCTTCATTGCACTTTGCAGATAATTGAATTTTTTTACAAAGTGAAGGTTTGTGGCAACTGGCATTAAGCAAGTCTATTGGTGTCATTTTCCCAACAGCATTTGCTCACTTTGTGTCATATTTTGAGAATTCTTGCAATATTTCAAACGTTTTCATGATTGTATTTGTTATGATGATCTACGATGACTGATTATGACTCATGGAAAGCTCAAATAATGGTTAGCATTTTTTAGCTCTGAAGTTTTAAAAATTAAGGTATGCATTTTTTTAGACATACCATTGCACACTTAACAGACTACAGTATAAACATAACTTTTATATGTACTTTTATATCATTTGACTTGCTTTATTCCAATATTTGCTTTATTGTGGTGGTCTGGAACTAAACTCACAACTCCAAGGTATAACTGTGTCAATATTTCTTAAACAGGATGAGCTGTTTTTATGTAAATGGAACTAAAGTTAAAAAGTATTCATAGATGACTATGAAAATATAATTTATTCCATCTTTCCCAATTTAGAAAGTGTATCATCTATATATTGGGTTCAATGTGCTCGGCACAGGGAATATAAGGGTGAGCACTGTCTAAGGAGTTTATAATGTAGTGACTTTGCTGTAATCTCATTAACAATTTCATACTTCGGTATCATTACTGGTTTAACTTAAAACTCGAGTTTTTTTTCTTTTCCAGGAGTCTTACAGAGAGATGACATAACGAAATTCCACGGTATTCATTTACTCACCTAGCCACTGACATTCAAACAAATTCAAGTCTCTCACCCTGAAAACAATGACAACACCTTCCCTTTCCTCCACTTCCCTCTCCAGTTACCACTTTTTTCCCCTCTCTCACAGTTAAACTTTTTTTTTTTTTTTAAAGGTTTTATTTATTTATTTGACAGAGAGAGACACAACGAGAGAGGGAACACAAGCAGGGGGAGTGGGAGAGGGAGAAGCAGGTTTCCTGCTGAGCAGGGAGCCCGATGCGGGGCTCGATCCCAGGACCCTGGGATCATGGCCTGAGCCGAAGGCAGACACTTAACGACTGAGCCACCCACGCGCCCCATCACAGCTAAACTTCTCAAGAGCTTGATGTACTATTTCTCCTCTTCTACTCACTTCTAATCTTTGACTTGCATCTACCAAAATAGCACCAATGCTCTATGGACCCTTTTCCCAAGGTATGCCTGTATTAAGCTGTTAGGTCCTTCACTGTCTTTGGAATACTGTGGAATGGGATTGAACCCAGAGCCTACATTCATAACATTTATGTTATAGTTCCTCAAGTCATTCTGTCAGCTGATCCAATTTTTTTTTTTAAACTAATTTATTTATTTGAGGGGGGAGGGGCAGAGGAAGAGGGAGAGGAATTCCCAGCAGGGTTTGGTCCCAGGACCCTGAGATCACGACCTGAGCCAAAACCAAGAGTCAAATGGTAAACCGACTGTGCCACCCAGGCACTCCTCAGCTGATCCAATTTGTATAAAAATATATAAAAAGATGGTGTTAAATTCTTCTTTTAATGTTAAAATTTTAACAAAGATTTATTCTCCTCTGTAATTAACTTTTTAAAGAA